CGGGACGGGAGAGCTTCCTAAATGCAGGCAGCATGTGGAGTCCCCTGGCCTTGGAGCAGGGACATCCCCTGCCTGGGAGGAGGATGGCTACGGGGTTTAGCTGGGGTCAGCAGGGGAAGAACCCTTCTAGAGGAGGAGGGATCTGGGTGAGCCACATGCTTCAAGAAAACGTGTTGCGGGGTCTCCCAGACCTGACGAGCTCACAGGGCGCTCCTGTGGCTCAGCTTTTGTGTACAGAACGCTTGTCAGCGGGAAAAGTGCAACCTCAGGTTCTCTCCCACAGGCAGCTCTTTGTTCCCAGATAAAGGACCTTACACCAAAGGCCCTTTGTGCCGCTGCTCAGAACAGTGCCGGGATTAATTGTACCGATAGGTGCTTGAATGGGGAGCATGCAAGGCCACTCACTCCTGGTGTAATTATCTTCAAAACTGAGAAAGAAATTAAAATATGCAGAGATGCCCCTTTTGGTGGCTTTTTGAATAGCAGGCAGTCTCCAAGATTAAAACTGCATCTCTAAACAAGCTAGCTTTCCTTCCAGAGGAGAAAAGCATGGCAGTGAGGAGAAGAGGCACTTGGTGCCACCATTTGCAGCCACCATGGTGGAATCCAAGCCATGTCCTGGGGCAAATGGCCCAGCCATTGATAGTGTCTGCAGGAGCTCAATGTGGGGCAAGTGGCCACATAAGGCTGGTCTGGGCCACTTGTCCTGTGCTGAGCTCCTGCAGACATGGTGCCATGGTGTGCATAGCTCACAGAGAGCATGGGCACGTTGCAAAACAGGTTCCTCTGTTTGCAGTGAGGCTGCGTGGGTGTCTTTACTAACTCTTCTCCCTTGCCTTCTTCCAGGATGCTCTGGACTTGCATGAACTGCCTTCTCCTCATCTTCTCCTCTCCAACGAGCTGGCATCCTGTATTGCCAGTGTATCCTGATAAAAGCCATCAGTTCACATATTCAAGGGGGAGAACGTTCAAAGTGGAGCTTATTGGTGGAGACGATTGAGTCTTCCCCAGTGGCTTCATCTTGAAAGAATTTTGATATTCCCCCCCTTTTCTGGCTCAGCCATCGCTGCCGCGCGCGTCTGCCGCTCAACAGCGCGAGACGGGCTCTCTGGGCCTCTTAAGGGGGGAGTTCAAACATTTTCGCTGGCCTCAGACCATGCATGCCGCATTCCTGAGCCTCAGCACCGGGAGAAAGAGGTCCCCGGCTCCAGATGGGTCCTTGCCAGGGCTTCAAACACCCAGTGAACTGCTGGGACTCTGTGGAGGTGATGGGAGGGCTGCTGGTAGGGACCGCTTGTCTTTGCAGCTCAGGGTGTGCTTGGAAGGAGACATTCAGGACAGGGAGGAGGCAGCCAGAACAATGCTCACAGCCCTGTCCAAGGAGTAAGAATTTTTCCCTGTCCTGGGATCCCACTCTGCCATGGAACTTCTGCTTCTGTGTGGACTCAAGCCTGGCCAGCTATACTTGCTGACCATAGTGAAGCTCCTGCTCCATGCCTTGATTTTGCCCAGCTGAAGGTAAGGAGAGGACAACTCCCAGTGCTGCAGACAGTGATAAAGCAAGCCTTAGGGTGACTTCCCCAAGCTGGCAAAATTGGGAGCCAATTTCCCGTTGACTAATGGGACCAGGCTCTTGCTGTGGTGTGCGGGATTGAAGTGGCTTTGACTCACTGTTCAGCCAGCCCTGACGCCGTTCACGTCCCTCCAGAGCACCTGCAAACCCGAACCGCGCCGGGAAATCACCAGTGACACCTCTCAACCCCCCTCTGGCACCATGGGCCGGAGGAGGAGAGCAGCTGCTTGATGCTGAACCACTGAAGCCCAGTGCTTGGGCTCCCCAGCCCTGGACACTCTCACATGCCCTTTCATGGGGGCCAGTGCTTGGTGTGCCCCAGTGTTTTTGGGACAGAGGTTCAAGGCCAGGCCACAGTGAGAGCTCTGCAGCACCTTTAAAGGCTGAGAGCAGTTTCTGCAACTCAGCTCAGCATGTGCCACCAACCCCTGGACCACGCAGCACAGAAGCCCATAGGGCCTTCCATTTATGACCTTCACAATGGCAGGCTGCAAGGGTCTGGGAGGCTCCACTGACCCCACCTGGGTCACTCCCATGGCTGCAGGAAACCCCCTCTGCCCTCTGTGCTCAGCCTGTTTCCTTTAGCTGAGTTGCTCAGTGAATTTTTTTTTATTATTATTATTTCCCCTCCCCACTCTCTCTGTGTGGTTTACGTGGCTCTCACGCCAACAGCCGGCTTGGCTCTGTCAGTTTTTTCTCTCCTCTGCTGGTCAGATGGCAGATGCTGCCAAATTAGGATGCAGGCAGCGAGCCTCCTGTCCAAGCTGAGGTTCTGCCCACGGCTAACACTCAAGGGGAAGGACGCTGCCAGAGGGGACAACTGCCATGGCAAGGGCTTCCTAATGGGGCCTGCTGCTGTGCAGGAGAGTTCCCGCATACCCTGGACAGGTTTGGGAAGCAAACACCCACCATGGTCTGGTCAGTCCATGCTATGCTGTGGCTTGCCACAGCATCCTTGTGTCACTCGATTTGCGGGCACACCCTGCCACCCAGATCCCCATCTCCCCAGCCTGACTCACCGCCACAGCCGCTCATCTATCAGCGGCCCCAGCCCTGAGAACACAGGGCATCCCTTCCCTGCTCCTCCTGCAGAAACACCCCCCAGCTGGCCTTGCAGGCAGCAGGGCCCTGCGCTGGCTGGACCACAGAGTCTCTGCACCAGGAGTTGGCAGCCCCACACTGTGAGCACTGAGCACACGCTTGGCTCTGCTCACCGCCAGCACGGCGTGTCTGCACCCTCAGCACCGCTGTGCCCTTATTAGGGCAGCCAGTGCTGGGCCTGGCCCTCGCAGAGGTGTGGGCAGCCCCCTTCTGGGACCTGCTCCCCCATCATCTGGCACTGCCCACCCGCCCTGGCAGCCACCCCGTGCAGGGGTCTGGGAAGTGCAGCAGTATCTCTGGTCTTGTGGCCATGCAGAGCCACACTTGGGATCCTGCCGTCAGTAACTGATGGTGTGGGAAATGGGAAGGGAGAGAGATGGCGGCTTGATGTGTCCTCTGGGCAGGTAGTGCCTTGGGACCGAGCGGAGGCTGCCTTATGGGTGCACAGGCCCATTCTGCCCATCCTGTGTCTTGCCCCTCCTGCATTACCTGCTTGACAGAAGGCTTCTTCCTTCTCTCCCTCTGTTTTTGCCAGGTGCCCATAGTTTGTGTTCTTGAGAAACAACAAATAACCCCTGCCCAGTAACCATCTCTGTGCTGGAGTCTGATGTAGATGCTGCCCTTCTGCACCTCTACCAATGGGGAACTGGCACCATGAAAGGTTTTCTTCCCTCTGTCCTTGGTGCCATGCCCACTGCTAGTGCCACCAGGCCACAGTGGAAGGTGTTTGTGTTTGCTCTGGGCAAACAGCCTGGGCGAGAAGCAAGCTTGCTGGCCCAGCTGGGAACCTGGCAAGCCACAAGGCAGGTCAGAGAGCCCACGTGTCCCCAGACGTGCTTGTTTATCTGTGCCATGGTGGCACCCACAGCCTGTGCTCCCAGCCTGCCTGTGGGTGCTGCTGTCGGGTCTCGCTGGGGTGGGACACGGGAAGAAGGTGTTTACCTCCAGTTGGGCTTCATCCGAAACCCTGCGATGCGTGAATGCTTCCTTCCTCCTCCACACTTCCTTACTGCCTAGGTCAGCCTGGGGTTTTCCTGGGGTGGAAGGAAAGAAGCTGAAACTGCCTCTTGGTGTGGGGCTGAGCCATGGTGCTGTCACAACTGAGCTGCCCTGGCACATCCTTGTGCCCCAGCTAGCGAGAATGAGCAGTTCCCAGCCTGCTGCTGGGTCTAGGAGAGCCATGGCTCCCTGCCATTTGTCTTGAGCCCGGGTGGGCTGAGAGGTGCATGGATGGATGGGCAGCCCTTGGGGAGCTGCATGGGGTTTTGGATGGGGCCATGCTTGTGGCTGGGGAGGGGGATGCGCTCATCAGGGTGGTGTTTTGGCCCTGGTCCTCAGTGCAGGCAGCAGAGCCCCCCTGAGCACACCAGGGTCTCCAGGCATTTGCACCCCCCCCTGCTTCCACCAAACCCCTTCTAGGCAAAAGAAGGTCCAGAGGACTCGGGGGTGCTGGGGTGCCTGCTCTCCCCTCCAAACAGCCAAAGGGCCATCCCTGCAGCAGAGCTCACAGGGCCAGCAGCTCACAGAGGGGCCATTGGCCCCTGAGCATGTCAGTGTGTCCTCATCCTTGTGTTTCAGTCCTGGTTTTTGCGCGTGGTGCTCGCGCGGAGCCACGCGGCTCTGCCTGGGATTAGCGACAGCTGCCTGCAATTGCAGCTCTTCCCAGACAAGCGTCTCGCTCCCCCAAGGCTGGGGCTGGGGCTGTTTGGGGAATGCTGCCGGGGTGGTTTGTCTTGTAGTCTGCTCCAGGAATGTTGGCCAGACGGTCAAATTCTTCTCCCCTCTTGTAAAATGAGTGATGTGGGGCGTCTCTGGGAGAGCAGCCTGCCAGTCCCTCCTCCTCTGGATAAACCTGCCTGGCCCGCACCGCCCTGTCATGGGAACAGGCCCTTTCAACCCCAGCCACATTAAATACGCACCCTGCCAAAGCAGAGGGGGAGGGTGCGGACAGGGGCGCCCTGTCTTCCTCCTTTGGCACCCCTGCACTGCCTGGGGGACACGTTTGGCTGTGCTGGTGGCTGGGGACCGCAGCTTGTCCCCATCTCCCCCTTGCCACCTGGCCAGCTCCTCGTCCTGCCGCTTGCCTCCTCCAGCACAGCTCTCCAGGGACACCTCGCTCTTCCTGTTCTCTTGACAGGAGAAGAGAAATCTGGAGTCTGTCTGTGCCGCTCCCCCCTCCTCCCACCACGTCTCACCCCCCAAGTTGCTGTTTTCCACAGAAATGTCAGGCTCGGCTCTTCTCTCCCCCAGTCCTCATGGTTTTTTTTCCCCTCTAATCTTGGCCTTCATCTCCAATTAATTCTTTCTCTCCTTCCTTTCTCTCCAGAGACCCTGATGGACACAAAGTGGGTGACCTCTGAGTTGGCATGGACAACTCATCCAGAGACAGGGGTAAGTTGGGAACCAGCCCTGGTCCTGACCTCCAAAGGGCAGGGCTGGCCCTGGCTCCGGCCCCATGAGAATCGAGGGCAGAGCTGGCCCAGGCCCCATGGGAATCATGGTTGCTCACCAGTGCCTTTGTGAAACTGGCTGCATCTTTCTTCTTTCCTCCTGTGCATATCCTCACCTTGTGAAACCATCTCCCCTTGACTCGTGCCAGCAGAGTGGGAGTGTCATGGTCCCTGGCCTAGGTTGCTCTTAGTCAGCTTGATGACCAGGAGGGTTGTGACGGGTGAAGGTGTAGCTGCTGCTCTTCCCTGTTGACTGTTGCCTGTTTCCCCCCCACCCTGTGCCATTCAAAATGTGTCTGTGGCACTGATGTCCCTGGCTGGGGATCTAACCCTTTCCCTCTCATCACAGTGGGAAGAAGTCAGTGGTTATGACGAGGCCATGAACCCTATCCGCACGTACCAGGTCTGCAACGTACGGGAGGCCAACCAGAACAACTGGCTTCGTACCAAATTCATCCAGCGCCAGGATGTCCAGCGCGTCTATGTGGAGCTGAAATTCACTGTGCGGGACTGCAACAGCATCCCCAACATCCCTGGCTCCTGCAAAGAGACCTTCAACCTCTTCTATTATGAGTCAGATACAGATTCTGCTTCTGCAAACAGCCCTTTCTGGATGGAGAACCCCTATATCAAAGTGGATACAATTGCCCCAGATGAGAGTTTCTCCAAGCTGGAGTCTGGCCGTGTGAACACCAAGGTGCGCAGCTTTGGCCCTCTCTCCAAGAATGGTTTTTACCTTGCCTTCCAAGACCTGGGAGCCTGCATGTCCCTCATCTCTGTTCGGGCTTTCTACAAGAAATGCTCCAACACCATTGCTGGCTTTGCTATCTTCCCGGAGACTTTAACGGGAGCCGAGCCCACTTCCCTGGTCATCGCACCGGGCACCTGCATCCCCAACGCAGTGGAGGTGTCTGTGCCCCTAAAGCTGTACTGCAACGGTGACGGCGAGTGGATGGTGCCCGTGGGAGCGTGTACATGTGCTGCTGGATATGAGCCCGCCATGAAGGATACCCAGTGCCAAGGTATGTGCGTGGCAAAGTGATCATGGCCTTTGTCCCCATGGGTGTGTTGATGTGAAGGAGGTGGTTTTGCGTTGAGCTTGGTCTGGTTTTGGAGGCTTTTCCCTGATGAGTGAGCAGGGTGATATCTCAGACAACTGGTCTGCAGTTTGACTCCAAAGCCTTTGTGGTCTGGACTCATGCAGTGTCTGCTGGGACATACTGGTGAACAGCCACCAATGCTACCCTCTGTGGAATGCATCTCCTTGCATGGAACTGCAGTTCAAGGCATGGTCCTCAGCAGGGATCCAGCACATTTAAGCCCTTGAGCATTACCAAAATCTCTCTCTTACTGCTGCTGCCATATCCAGCATCTTCTCTCTCTCCCTCCTGCAGTGCTCGTGGCTGGGGCGAGTGATTGTTCTTGGCAAGTGTGATTTCACGCTGCTTGTGCGGAGGCCTGTTCAGAAGCCCTGGTGGTGAGCAGGGCTCCCCTGTAGGAGAAGCCATGCTGAGGCATGCTCCCCCTGCCAGTGCTAAAAGCTTGCAGCAGGGATGGTAGGGACCAGCACAAAGGCAGGGGATCTGAAGCTCCTTGTTCTTGCTGGAAGGGAAGGAATCATATCCTGCACATGGAGATGTTGGCGATGGAGAGCCACCATAGCAGCAGGATAGCTCTGTGTGGGTCCTGCATGCTCTCCCACGATAGCTTTGGTGTTGCTGTTTAACCCCAGTTCGGGTGTGTTGGTAAGGAAAAATCTGTCTGGATGAATATTGCATTCCCTTGGGGTGATTTTTTTCTTGTGAGCTGTCTCTGGCAGGGAGGACCCTGCCCTGGGGTGGCTGGGGTTTGGGGCAGAAAGGTTGCTATTCCCCTTGGCTGCTGGCATTGTACAGGGAGTGGGATGCTGGCCGGGCCCCCAGCATGGGATGCCTTGTGCTCGCCGATGACGGGATGCTTGGCGCCGGCCCTTTGCTCTTGGCAGGAGCTGTGTGATTTGGGATGGCCAGTGACGTGGGGCTCAGGCCAGGCTGGCCTCCCCGTTGGCTTTGGGAGCAGTGTAGCTGACAGCCATGCTGCTGGGGCTAGTAAGGGAGAGGTCAGTCTCTACAGGGCCACAGCTCTGCCAGGGATCCAGAGCCTCCAGCACCATCAGTGCCAGCACAGCTCTGACCTCAGTGCCAGGCAGAGGTCTGTGCTCCTGGGTAGCTGCTTTCCATCTTGCTTGGACCGGGAGATCTTAGACCGTACACGATGTTTGCTCTTTCCCAGCAGAGAATGGGGTTTGGGCACAAGGTGAGAGTTTCCAGCCAGTACCAGAGAGGTGCTGAGAGGGGACATCCCAAGGTAGGACAGAGCTCCTCAGATTAGGCTCAGGAGCCTGGGGCAAGATCCCGTCTGACACACATCCCCAAGCTGGAGAGATCCCCATGTGGCAGCTTTCCCAGTGCCTTTGATTTCCCACCAAGCCCCAGCTTCTGCTGCAGCAGGCAGGGAAGCCACGCTGGGCCGTGGGCACGTCTCCATCCGGCAGCCTGCCTTCTCGCTGGGCAGAGGCGGCGGTGTCCTCACGTTTCTCTGGGAAAGTTGCACTGCGCTTGTAGGATCAGATTTTCCGCCATATGATCGTGCGTTTTAAGTGGAAACAGCTGAAGAAGGGCTGGGAGAAGCCGGAGCTGCAGCTCCTTTTCTCCTCTTGGCTGGATGTTCCCTTACCCCGTTTCCACAGTCCAGCACCGCCAAGAAGTCTCCAAGCTCGTGTCATGGGCAGCAGTGTGGGTGCAGCCCCCCAAAGCTGGGGTTCCATCACTCCTGCCCCAGGGAGCCCACAGGGGCTTCAGCATGCAGGCGAGCAGCGCTCCAGCGTGCCAGATGGCATTTTAATAAATAACAATACCCAGTTACTGCTTAGATGGGATAAGCCCTGTTGTAAATCTCCCCCTTTTCCCAGACTTTCAGTGGCCTTTGAAGACCTCCTCCTCCTCCTCCTCCTCTTTATCTCCATCCAAGCCAAGATTAGAGCTCACATTCAGACCTGTTACAATGCAGCTTGTATCCCAGTCCCTCGGGAGCAGAGGGCTCATCCTTCCCGACTGAAGACAGTTTCTTTGGCATGCTTTGTAAGGCGATACGCCAGGCTGGTACCTGGCGCTCTACTCCTGAGTTGCCACAGCATTGATTTGGCATCTCATTCTCAGCCTCATTATCTTTATTTAATTAGCACACGGCCCTTCTGGGGGTTGTGCCGCTTCCCACACACTCCCTTACCACACAGAGCTGCAGAGGCAGCTCTTGGAGGACAAGGAGGAGCTGCTGGCCGGGGAGGGGAGCAAAGGCTCCCACATGCCTTCATGGGCTGGGGTACACTGCACTGCCCTGCAGCCCCTGGGGTTTAGCTTTTCCCCCAGCCCCATCCCTTCTCCTTTTGGTTAGGAGGCCCCCAAACAGTTCAGAGGATTTGGTGTCAAGGGGTTCCCCAAAAATTCTCCGGGGCATGTGCTCCGTGATGGATTTGTTGGGATTTGCACCCCTTGTGTTGCTGGCTTCACACAAAGACGGAAAGGCTGCTGTGCTGGGGTGAGCAGTGAGCCCCTCCTTGCATGTCCCCTCTGCTTGGGAGGAGGACCACGGTGCCCCCAGAGCCTGCACCCCACTTGGGAGGGGAACTGAGTCTGTGTGGTGCAGTCCATGGATGCCCAAACCGTAGGAGCACTGGAGGTGATAGTGTCCAGCATGACACTACACCTTCCCGAGACCCATTTCTCAGTCTTCTTGATGTTTCTTTCTCGTGGCACCAGGCACTGAACATTTGGGTACAATCAGTAGGTGAATGCAGGTCAAGCTGGGGCGAAAATCAGAATTTTCACAAAAATAAATTTCCCTTGCAATCAGTGACTAATGAAAACATCACCCTGAATTAAATAAAAAAAAATTGCCAAGCAAGCATTGCACTTGCCAACTGTTTGCAGCTTTGCATTGCAACATGGGCTTGCTGCATGAAACCCAGGAAGTGAAACTGCCTGGGATTAATTGCCCGGGATTCCAGATCAAAGGCAGCAGCAGGGAAGGCAGGGAGAGCTGCCGGTTTACAGCCAGGCAGCTCCACAATGGGTTACTTGTAACACAGTCGAGGAAATCTGCCCCTGCTGTCCTGCCTGTGACCCACTGTGACTCAAGAGGCAGCTTTGCTTATTGATTTTTTTTCCTTATAAAAAAAAAAAGCAGAAAAAAATTTATTTTCCAGCCTGTTCATTGGATGGCACTTCAAACCCCCAAAGGCTCTTTCCTTTCTCTCCCTTCAGATTTACTCCATTCACTTTTGGACTGCACTAGTGTGAAATATTTTCACCCAAAGGGTGATTATTTTACTTTTTTTTTTAAATAACTGCCTTTTAAGAGAGACTTAAAAACAGAGTTACCGCCTGAGCTGTAGCCAGGCTGTTGCTTCCACAGCTCTGCTCCATCTGCAGCCACTTACGACAGCGAGAAGGGAGCGAGCTGTGCAGGTTCATAAAGCACAGATCGTCCCGAACAAACCTGACTGCTGCCTCTAAAGAAATTACAGGGTTGATGGGCAAAGGGATATGATCAGTTTAATTTATCTAGGCTCAGGCGAGGCGTCCTGCTTCAGTCCTACAGGGAGAGAAATAGCTGGAAGGATGCTGTAATATTGTAGTGTGAATGGGAACCAGTCAAAACATGAAACATGGTAGTTTGAGGCTGGTTTTTCCCAGTGTGTCACAGCTATCCGTGCCTTCCCCAGGGGAGGGGACCCCAGAGCTTTGGAGATTCACCTTGGTTCATTGCTGCTTGCCTGCATCCCATGCAATAATGGAGGCTGCCTACGGGATGAGTCACTGCTCTCTGCTGCTGCCAGAAGGGTTTTATTTCAGTGTTTTTTTCAGCTCCCTTCCTTGAACTTTATTCACCACGGTGGGGATTGTGTTTGGGAGTAGTACCCTCCTCTTCCCTCAGCTCTGTGCTGCAGCTTTTCGAGACAGGATCAGGCGCTGGAGGTGGGCGGCTGATGAAAATCCTGGAGGGGCTGCCAGAAGCAGCCGGACGGGCGCGTTTGCCACGCCGGGTGTGCGATGCCCCGTAGGGGGTGCAGGGGCAGCTTTGCAGCAGGGCTCTGTTACTGTCCTGCTCCCTCCCACGCCCCACACAAATCCCCTCTGTGGCTGATCTCCGCTGTCAGGCCAGACTGCCTCTCCCTCCCATCAGACCAGCGGCTCCTCTTCAGAGCGGGGAGCTCCGCTTCGGTTCCCTGACCTGTTATCCTGTGGCTGTCACTGACTGTCATGTTCTCCCCAGAAGTGACCGCAACACAGCACCAGGAGATGTGATCTGTGTGCAGAGGTTCAGAGTTGTTATTTTATTTGAGGACACTTCAGCAGGAAAAGTGCTTATGCAAAGCTCTCGGCAGGGAGAAGAGAGCCTGGCTTCCCAGCTCCGGCTGGATGGAGTCACGTTCCCACTCCAGAGCTCCCAGGCTCGTTCCGCAGCGTGCCGGCCAAGACAGTGGTTGTTGTACAGGCAGTTTCTTGCAGAGAAGAGATGACACAGCGGCTTATCCACCAGGGACCTGGGATCAGCTTTCAGCTCAGTTACAGCCTTCAAATGTGGCGGCTGAGAGCTGTCACGCTGCCACCGAGGTCTTTATGCTCTGATTTATTAAGCAGAGTTGGAAATTTACACACTGGAGTGCATCTGGGCCTCCATCCCTCTGCTGCTCTTCCCCTTTTTAAAAGGGCTGGTTCATGGCTCATTCCCCCCCCTGCCAGGATGGCATGAGGATGCAAAGAAAAGGCCTTCATCCCTTGTGCCTGTACTGGGCACTACTTAGAGGTGGCAGGGAGCTGCTGAAGGACAGCTTTCCTGTCCCTTCCTTCTGTGTCTGGGAGGCCACTATCACCTCCGTGCCCATAACCCACTGGGCACCGGCTGGCACTTCATGTGCAGGAGACCAAGTGCCCTCGTCCCTCCTGCATCCTTTGCAAGCACCTGGCTGTCCTTTGCTGCCGTGCCATGCTTGGGTTGTCAGCTTCACACAGTCAGGTTGCTCTGGCTTCACTCTCCCCCCAACAAGCCTGTTCAGGGGTTTTGTCCCTGATGGATCTGGGCTCCTCTCCATAACCAAAGCATGTTTGGCAGCTTTCTAAGCCCAGAGCGTTCCTGTCCAAGAGGTTTCAGTCATCTCTCATTCCTCAACAATCTGGTTCCTTATGCGTGAATCTGCATCCACCCAGTTTGAACCGCCCGGGACTCCAGCCGGGGTGCATCTGCCTATGCCAAGGCTTCTCTGGGCCTCTGCTGTCCACATAAAGACACATTTTCTGGTGGCCTGGTTGTCCCAGGCTAGGGAGACAGAAGCCCTGGACCTGCTGGCTTCCCATTGCTTGCCAAGGAGCAGATCTGTGCACTGCTTTGCCTTCCAGCCTGCACAGTCGGGACGGGCAAAGCTTTCATTTCCAAAGGGAAGGCCCAGAGGCTGGGTGAACTCAGGTCAAGGAGCTGGAGTTAGCCATGTAGTCAGTCCTGTTTTGACCAGAGTCTCACTGCTGGAAGGCTTGCACCCTGGGAGCAGGAAGCAGCTCCTGACACCCATTCAGGCAGAGGGGCTGGAGAGCAGGCAGTTGTCTCTGCAAGGGCTGCTCTCACATCCCCCTGGCCAGCAGCACTGCACAGGAGTGGGGCTTCTCCCTTGGGGTTGCTGCTGCTTGGTGCCTGGACAAACCTGGGACCCAGGACAGCACCTGGAGCTGTGTGCAGGTCCCTGCGGGGCCGGCCTGGCAGCGTGTGACTCACAGAACTCCACGCCCCATGTGGGGCTGCAACCAGCCGGAAAACTTCCACAGAGGGTGTCAGGAGATGCCTCATAGCAGGAAACTTCCACTTGCCACAGCCTGGTGAAGCACCAGGAAACCTCCTCCTGTTTTCAGGATGATGTGTGACAGGTGTGGGAGGGTTACATGCCCTCAGAGCTTCCCTAACGTGGTGGAAGAGGAGGCCATGCCCTCCTTTGGGGCCATCCGTGCTGATGCTGCCCCAGCTGTGGCAAACAGGGTGATGCTGAAGCAGAGCCAGCGCCAGTGGGTCTCTCACCTCATCCAGCTGCAAACACAGAGCACAGAATCCACTTCCTTGGGCAGCAGTGTGATAAATTGGGCTATTTTGAGGTGTGTGTCAGGTTCCCGAGGCGCTCTGCTCCTCGGCTCAAGTGCTGTTAAACCATTCACATGCCCCTCATTACAAATAAACACCTTGGGGTGCCTATCGGGCTGTATCCCAGGACTCGTGGCTCCTTGAAGGACCCTGATCGGAAGCGGAGGAGGTGGCAGTGATGCTGAAGCAGCTCTTCAGCCAAGGACCTGCAGGAATGTTTTCATCTTGCTCAGCACTCCACTTGAGCCAACCTCGTGAGGTGCCGCCGCCCCGGGACTGAGAAGTGGCTCAAGAGCCTGAGGCGGAAGGTTTGGGGCTGAGTGGCTGATTTTGGGTGGTGGAGGCCTCTCACAGGGGCTGCTGCAGACAGGGCTGCAGAGGAGTGCTTTCCTTCCCAGCCGTATTTCCCCAGAGGATGGACCTGGCACTGTGAAGGTTGCCAGGCCTGGAAACCAGTGTGGCCTTCCTCTATGGAAGGGAGCATGGTAAGACCCTTGGGAAGGGCAGTGAAGAAACAAAACTAAGGAATGGAGCTCTGGATGGACCTGCTCTGTCCCCCCATACTGCTGGTGGTGACCACTCTTCCCACCTGAGATTACCTTGGGCCTGCTACTGGAGCATTTCCTGGCAGAGCTGTGCCTGAGCCATCTGGTGCTTCCAGCAGCCCACTCTTCTCACCCTTCCCAGCCGTGAGTCCCTGGGCATGGCTGATGGCAGTGGAAAGGCTTGTAGGAGGCCTGAGGTCTTCAAGCCACTGATCAAAGATTTGGCAGCGAGGAAGTCTGCCCAGCTATGGTGGGAGCAGTGAGTGTTTTCTGGGTTCACTTAATAACTCAGATCTGTTTTTCTTTCCTCCAGCATGTGGCCCAGGAACCTTCAAATCTAAGCAGGGGGAAGGTCCCTGCTCTCCCTGCCCTCCCAATAGCCGGACCACCTCTGGAGCAGCGATGGTCTGCACTTGTCGAAACGGCTTTTTCCGGGCAGACACGGACCCCGCAGACAGCGCCTGCACCAGTGAGTCCTGCTCTGGGCAAGGAGGGGAGGCAAGGGAAGCTGTAGAGGTGATGGGGATCTGTGCCCATGCCAGGTGTGAGCTAGACATGAAGACACCCACTCCTGCCCCTCACATTTCCCTGCAGGTGTCCCCTCAGCCCCCCGCAATGTCATCTCCAACGTGAACGAGACGTCGCTGGTGCTGGAGTGGAGCGAGCCGCAGGACACGGGCGGGCGGGATGACCTGCTCTACAACGTCATCTGCAAGAAGTGCAGCGTGGAGCGGCGTCTGTGCACCCGCTGCGACGACAACGTGGAGTTCGTGCCGCGCCAGCTCGGCCTCACTGAGCGACGCATCTACATCAGCAACCTGATGGCCCACACGCAGTACACTTTCGAGATCCAGGCCGTGAACGGCATCTCCAACAAGAGTCCCTACCCTCCCCATTTCGCCTCTGTCAACATCACCACCAACCAGGCAGGTCAGTGGAGCCACCAGGGAGCAGGGGCTGCATCTCCTCCACAGAGCGGAGCGGAGCAGAGATTTCTTTCTGACAGCCTGGGAGGCTGCAGTCCTTTGTGGTGCCGCCTAACTGGCTCTCTGAGCCTGCATCTAATCCCCTGGGTAAACTCTTCTCTCTGTTTAAAGCATGTCCCCAGAGGAGATGAGATCAGAACATATGCAAGTGGAGAAGACTAGGGCTGGCAGATGCTCCAGAGAGCTCTGGATCTTCTAGACCTACCCCAGAGAGGCTGTGCCTGCTGCAAGGGGAGGAGGAAGGAAATGAGATTTCTCTCCTGTGTGCATGGGAAGGCTCAGCACCAGCCCAAGCCTTTGCAGGCAGCCAAGTGCTCTGCCATTCCCTCCTTCCTCCCGCTCTGGCCCCGCTCCAGCGTGCTGGTAATCTCCAGCCACTGCGCACTGATCTGATTTCACGGGTCTTGCTGCTGGGGTGGAGCAGAGCTCTGGCAAATGCAGGAGGGGAGGGAGCCCCAGTCTGGGTTGGCAGGGCCCTTCCCCAGACCAGTCTGCAGCTAGGCATGGGGTGAAACATGACTTCAGTGCTATTTCTGAGGCTCCCCTTGGTGTTGAGATCACACCTCCTTATGGAGACTTGGGGAAGGCCAGTCTCAAAACTTTTCCATGCCTTTCCACCAAGATTATCCAAGCAGGTCACAGGCAGAGCATTCCCTACACTGTGTGGGATGGTGGAGGGGGAAGCCTGGTGCAGGTGTCTCATTCCTTTACTGCCCTCCTTCCTAGCCCCATCTGCCGTGCCAACAATGCACCTGCACAGCAGCACCGGGAACAGCATGACGCTGTCATGGACTCCCCCAGAGAGACCCAACGGCATCATTCTGGACTATGAGATCAAATACTCAGAGAAGGTAAAGTAGGAACAGCCTTTTCCCCTCTCCAGCCCTTCTAGCTGGCCATCAGCATCATGGCATAGCGGGTCCCTGCAAACCTGGCACCTGGGGGATGTGGGAGCCAGCAAATGGAGGGTGGCTTCACAGAGGTGACACCCACGTCTCCCCTACAGCAAGGCCAGAGCGATGGAATCGCCAACACAGTCACCAGCCAGAAGAACTCGGTGCGGCTGGACGGGCTGAAGGCCAACGCTCGGTACATGGTGCAGGTCCGGGCACGCACCGTGGCGGGATACGGCCGCTACAGCCTCCCCACGGAGTTCCAGACAACTGCGGAGGGTGGTAGGTGCCAGCACTGGGCTGCCTCCATCGCCCAGCCCTCCATGCATACTCCTTTCCTAGCTTGACTTCAATTCCTACCTCTCCTTCCATCAGGTTCCACCAGCAAGACTTTCCAGGAGCTGCCTTTGATCGTGGGTTCGGCCACTGCAGGGCTGGTGTTCGTCATCGTGGTGGTGGTGATTGCTATCGTCTGCTTCAGGTACTGACTTTTCAGGGAAGAGGGCTTCAAATCTGGGTTTGGGGGTTGCTCATGTTTGCCACAGAGCTTTCCCCGTCACCTGTGGGCAGAGCTCTGGCAGCTCCAGTCACAGAGTGAAGGACTGGACCAGCCACACGTGGGTCCCAGAGCAGGGGTACTGTGGGAGGACTGTGCCTCTGCTTCCCCTGCACGAGCTGGGCTCTGCCCACGCTCCTGCCATGCACTCAGCACAACTAGGCCATTTCCTCCCATCGCACCCCGGGTGGAGGGATGGCTCTGCACACAGGCTGCCAGAGGGAAGGCTCTCTGGCAGAGGCTGTCTGTGCTGGGATTTGGAAGTTGGCAGTGAATGTCTTTGCCCCATCAGGAAAGGGATGGTTACTGAACACCTCCTCTCGTCTCCTTTGGGCAGGAAGCAGCGCAACAACACCGACCCTGAGTACACAGAGAAGCTGCAGCAATATGGTGAGTGTGAGAGCCCCGCAAATGCACTCTGGCTGCCCTCTCCTAATTCCTGTCCCATGCAAAGGGGCAGCCTTTTCTAACAAGGGGTGGGCTGACAGCCAGCCAAGTGGCTTGACATCTGTCACCCTTGCTGCGTCCCTCCTGGTGATGGCTTCTGCCCTTGCAGTTACCCCTGGGATGAAGGTGTACATTGACCCTTTCACCTACGAGGACCCAAATGAAGCTGTCCGGGAATTTGCCAAAGAGATTGACATCTCCTGTGTGAAAATTGAGGAGGTCATTGGAGCAGGCAAGTCCTGGGGCTGGGCACAGCAGGTTCTGAGACTGCTGCCTCTCACCCTGTCCTGTGGCTCACCATGCTGGTCCCCTCTCTCCTTCCCACTACAGGGGAGTTCGGTGAGGTGTGCCGTGGGCGCCTGAAGCTGCCTGGTCGCCGCGAGATTTTCGTGGCCATCAAGACACTGAAGGTGGGCTACACGGAGCGGCAGCGGCGGGACTTCCTGAGTGAGGCCAGCATCATGGGCCAGTTCGACCACCCCAACATCATCCACCTGGAGGGCGTGGTGACCAAGAGCCGCCCTGTCATGATCATCACGGAATTCATGGAGAACTGTGCACTTGACTCCTTCCTCCGGGTGAGCATCCATCCCGTCCTGCCCTGGGCTGGGGGCTGCAGTGCATGGCAGGGCATGAGCCCTTCTCCATCTCTCTCCATTGTCATGCTGGTGTCCCCAGGGTTAATGTCTTCACAGACAACATGAGTGGGAGAAGCAGGGTGGCTCTGGGGAGGAGGATGGTGATGGTAGCACATTGGGATCCTTCCTCTATCTGTTCAGGGTGTTGCAAACCCCTCTGATCTCTCCTCTGGCAGTTGAATGATGGGCAGTTCACAGTCATCCAGCTGGTGGGAATGATGCGAGGCATCGCCGCTGGCATGAAGTACCTGTCAGAGATGAACTACGTGCATCGGGATCTGGCTGCCCGCAACATCCTGGTCAACAGCAACTTGGTCTGCAAAGTGTCTGACTTCGGGCTCTCTCGCTTTCTGGAGGATGACCCAGCTGACCCCACCTACACCAGCTCCCTGGTATGGGACACTCACAAGTGATCTACTGATCTGGGGGTGGGGGGGAGACACCTCAGGTATGCACTAAATGGTGGAGCTGTGTATCTGTGCAGGGAGGCAAGATCCCAATCAGATGGACAGCTCCTGAGGCCATCGCCTACCGCAAATTCACTTCAGCCAGCGACGTGTGGAGCTACGGCATTGTCATGTGGGAAGTGATGTCCTACGGGGAGCGACCTTACTGGGACATGTCCAACCAGGATGTAAGTGCTCTCTGGGGACTAGGGAACTGGGAGCTGTAGGCTGCCTGTGGGAGCCCAGTCTCACAGCCTGCCTCTGCCTATCTTTCTGCAGGTGATCAATGCCGTGGAGCAAGATTACCGCCTGCCACCCCCCATGGACTGCCCCACTGCACTGCACCAGCTGATGCTGGACTGCTGGGTGCGGGACCGCAACCTGAGGCCCAAATTTGCACAGATTGTCAACACGCTGGACAAGCTCATCCGCAATGCTGCCAGCCTGAAGGTCATCGCCAGCGTCCAGTCTGGGTCAGTGACATCCTGTGTTTCCAGCCAGCACTTACCCCAGTTCCAGGGAACACAGGGGTGATTGGGAATAGAGCTGTGGGAGGGTGGGGATAAGAAATATCCCTTGTTCCCAGTTACACCTCTCCATGCCCTGCTCCTTGTGACCCCTAGCTCTCTTGCCCTTTAGCATCTCCCAACCGCTCTTGGACCGCACAGTCCCGGATTACACCACCTTCACCACCGTGGGAGACTGGCTGGATGCCATCAAAATGGGACGGTACAAGGAGAACTTCGTCAATGCTGGGTTTGCTTCCTTTGATCTGGTGGCACAGATGACTGCGGAGTAAGTCCCTGCTTGGAGGGGAGGAGGGAGAAAACTGGGACTGGGGCTGCTGCACACTGTCCCTTGCCTATCTGATAGCCACCTCCTCCCACCTGGGTGCATGCTGGGCTGAATTAAGGACTGAGATTCAGTATCCAATCCCAAGGGACTTCAGGTTTAGGATTCAGCCTCCAGTCCGCTCTGGTGTTAGAGGGAGCACTGGAGCTTGGCAGAGGGCTGTAATGATGGACAGGTCGCTTGCCCAGTGGGGCAGGGCCACATGTTGATGTTGCTGGGAGCTGGGGGCTAAGTCGTCACCTTTTCCTTGCAGGGACCTGCTGAGGATAGGGGTGACGCTAGCAGGGCACCAGAAGAAGATCCTGAGCAGCATTCAGGACATGAGGCTGCAGATGAACCAGACGCTCCCAGTGCAGGTTTGACCACAGAGGACTCTGCATTGGAACGGAGCAAGGGAACCTGCCAAAAAGGTTCAGTTTGCAGTGCAGCCCAGCTTCCTGTTTCCCCTCCACATGGCGCTCCTCTGCCTTGGACGGTCGCCTGGGACGGGATGGGACGGGACGCCCTTCCCTGGATCGAAGGCACTCATGCTGAGGGTGTCCAGCTTTTCGTCCTTTGTCCTGGAATGGCGAGGCAGCAACACATCTTCATATTGAAGATGGATTATGGGACAGAGATGGCACATCCCACTTCCCACACTGTCTTGGTGCTCATCGGTTTGAAGAGTTGTTCTGCTTCTTGGATTTCTTTTCACCCTGTTTTCCCCCCAGTCCTCACTTCCCCCACCTCCCCGAGGCCACAGACTGTTGACCCGTCCGCCGAGTCCGTCAGACATGTCCGAAGCCTTCCCTAACTCTGTTCCCCACATGGAAGCAGCCGGGGGAGGCCAAGCCAGCAACAGGGTTGGGGCCACCAGCCCCAGACAATCACTCCTCTCCTCCAGCCCTGGCAAGCCCTCCACCCAAGGGTCTGCACTGGAACATGTCCGAAGGGAAGGCTTCACTCCCTTTTTTGGCTTTGCACGCCAGAACCCGAACCCGATTTACTATGCAGGGAGTTAGGCAAAAAAAAAAAAAGGAAAAAAGAAAAAAAAAAAGAGATATATAAAATAAAAGATAAGAGGGAGCAGAAAGGGGAGGGAGGGGGACCAGGTGCCCGGCTCCTCATCTCTTACCCTCTTGGTTCTCCTGGCCGGCTCTGGACTGCAGAGCGAGGCCATCAGCACGTTTGCACAGGGACCCTCCGCCCCCGGACCGACGGCAGCCGCGCTCCCCCCGAGGGGCCGGAGAGCGGGGCTGGGGCAGGGGCTGCGCCGGGGGCCACGGCTCCCCCAGCCTCCTCTTTTATGCAGAAGGAGCAGGTGCCGCCGGCGCGGCTGCCCGCTCCTGACACACGCTGTGATTGCTGCCAAAAGACTCACTCACCTTTCCCTGAGGATTCACTGCAGCCCGGTTCCTCCGAGCCGAGGGAGAGACTCCCAGCGTGCCTGAGTGTGCGTGAGTGTGTGCATGCGTGCGTGGGTGTGTGCTGGCCGCAGGACTGTGGGAGGCAATGGGCAGAATAAAGGCAATAAGAATTTTACCCGAGTTTCCTTTGCTCGATCGCGCTCTCATTGGATGGGCCCGGCTGCCTGCAGCTTCGCTGCCCACCAGGGTCATCCTTCTCCTCCTCCTGGCCAGCCCCAACCTGGCTGTGTGCCCCTTTCTGCTCTCCCCTTCTCTTGCTGTCATGTTTTCAGGTTGTCCAACAGGGACCAGGCAGTGATGCTGTACCAACCCTGTGGTGCTGGGAGACCCAGCGCGCTCCCCATGAGGTGTATAGGGCGGAGGCTCTGAGTCCCAGGTCAGAGCCAGTCAGGAAACTTTAATGTACTAGAAATACTCAGCATTTTTTTATCCCCATACCCTCCTCAAGTCAAGCCGTCCACACTGCTCATCCAGTGCCAGAGGGTCCCCACAGCTCTGGGGCTTCTCCATAGGGCGCTTCTCCTCCCCTGCCTCCCTTTGGGCAGTCTGCCTTCAGCAGGAGGGTTGCAGCAGCCCCTGGCACCCCTGCATTACTGGCCTCACTCCTCTACAAAATGGCTCTTGAGCAGGGGGGAGCTCACCAGGGTGAATGGACCAGCTGCAGGAGGCAAAGTAACCCCCTGGGAGAGCAGATCTGGGGGGGGCATGCCCTCAGTCTAGGGGAGATTTGTCCACAGTAGCCAAGTGGAACCCCAGTTGCTTTTCCTGGGTTTCTCAGGTCCCCCTCAGCTGCACTACCTTGCTAACAGGCTTTTAGGGTGCTTTGCTGGCAGTCCAGAGGGGAAAGTGGTCTCTCCCCAAAATGAGGGGGTGCACCCCTATGCTCCCCAGTGCTTGGCCCCAGTCCCCTCCTCCCCAGGCTGACAGCAGGTGCTGATTTTTCCGTTCCCTTGGAACAGGCCTGCCCTTGGGTTTCTCATTAATCCCGTCCTCCTTCACAGGGTAAACAAGTCCAGGAGGGCAGTAGCAGCAGGAACGGTCTCCCCACATCCCACCATCTCCTTTGTGAGATGTATCTGGGATGTTGGCTGACAGGGACACCACGGCCCTATTTTTCTGGGGTTTCCCATCCTGGCTTGCTCCCTACCCTGGCTGCTCCCCAGCCCTGCCCTGGTGAGACCCAAACAGCCGCGCTGGGCAGACTTCACCCCTCTCCCAGATCAGGAGAAGAAACCTGGCATTGAGAGGCTTTCAAAAGCAAATGACTGAAGAGATATGAGAGCCTGTTTGGGGCTTGCTAACCACCCACAGCCTCTCCATGCAGAAGCACAATGGGGCACAGGGGCTGCCCCTGCCTCCCTTGCTCCCGCCTCCCTTGCCCCCCTGCTGCTGCAAAGTTTGGGGTCCCATGAGCCCTGGTGCATCTCAAACATCCCCATCTCAGTTCTCCATCCTGCCCTGGCATTGCTTTGAGGAGGGGTTCTCATTTTAAACAACAAACCCCTTCTGCCACCCTTCTCTATGCACACCCTGCTCCCATGGGGCAGGACCCACCATCCCTGCAGCCAGCCCTGGGTCTCACCCCAGCCACAGGAGTGCACCCAGGGGTGCACCCAGCAGCTCTCCACATCCTGTACCTGCCTCCTCCCTTTCCATATAAATCTGGGGGAAAGCTGTGTTCCATGGTGAAAGAAAAGCAACAACAAAAAACAGCAGCCAGGGAAATCAATGCGAGCGTGCGTTTGTAAAAATATTTTTTAACGGAAAGACTTTTTTTCAATTAAATTATTTAAGGAATTTTATGGATGTCTGTGGTGCCTGTGTGGTTCCTGGGGGCTCTGGGTGGCTGGGAGCCCTGTCCTGGGCAGGTGAGGGTGTGTTTTGGGCATAGTGTGTTTAAAAGTGGGTCTATGGCAGTGAGCAGGAGCCACTTGACCCCACGGGGGTGCAAACCCAGTCCAGTTCCCCCCCAGAAGATGCTCCCTACCTCCTCCTGGAACAGCCAATGGGTGAGGACATTTTCAGGAGCTGAGTGGGCCAGAAGATGCTCCCAGGGCCACCAGCCCTCGGGTGCCACTGTGGGAAAATCCTGGGGCCATGGGGATGGGAGCAGCTTGGGGTGGCCCTTGGGGTGGCCAGGCTGGGCTGGGGGAAGGCAAGCCCTGCCTGCACCCCAGCCCGTGCTCTGCCTGCGCCCTGCGCTTCCCCCCTCCCAGCCCACGCAAAAGAGCCTTTTGTGCTGCTGGGTTTTTCCCCCCCTTTTAATTCCTAACCAGGAGATTAAGGGAAGACAAAGGCTACGATTGTTCCCGCTCTGCAGAGAGCTGGAAAGTTCGGGGCGGGGGGATCGTCCCTTTCCAGACAGACCCAGAGGAGGGGGACATGCGCCCCAGGTGGAGGGGCCGGGATGGGGGAACACCCTGGGAGCGGCGGTGGAGGGTCCCAGGGGCACGGCTGGGATGAAGGCACACCGAGCTTAGGGGGGATCCCTGCCGGGGTGGCCCGGAGGCTCGGGGCTCCAGCGGGAGGGTGGGAGGCTCTCTGCAGCGAGAAGGAGGAGGAAGGCTGAGGAGGATGGGTTGGCCGGCTCGCCGGCTGCTTGGCGTTTTCCCTGCTAACTCTTGGCTGACACCTCAACAACTTGGCTGGGAGAGGATCCCGCAGCCCCGTCAGCCGCCTGGGGCCGGCACAGCTGGAAGGGATCACGGCTCGGCATGGCTCGGCACAGCTTGGCACGGCACATCTGTCACCCGGCAGGCCAGCACGGGCCACGGGGCAGCGAGGACACAACCACAACCTCCACCGTGCCTTGTCCCACTGCCACCCTGTGCCCCAGGGAAAGGCCAAGCACAGCCGTGCTGGGGCCACATCCTGAACCCACAAGGATGGGCCGGACGCCGGCCGGGAGGGTCATTGCCTCACGGCTGGAGCCAAGGACGCACCATGGCCCGGGAAGGGGCTGTCCCCACAGCACAAGGGACAAGACCCAGCACATTTTCCCATGCTCACAAGAAGCCACGAAACACCCACGAACACCCCAGTTCTGCTCCTTCTGTTTCCCGTTAAGATTATTTATTGGTAATTTTTAAGACCGCTTAACAGACTCTGTTCACGTGCCAGGACCCTACACGGCTTTTTCCCAGGGCTTTTTTTTTAATTATGAAAAAAAAAAAAAAAAAAAACAAATTGTTTTAATAATTTTCTTTCCATTCCTTCCTTCCAGTCTCCTCTGGTTGCTAGCAGAAGACTTGCACATGGTGCAGCATCCGTCCTCATCTGCCACCACCACAGTCCATCCTCCCTGCCCACTGCTGCTGGGGCTGCAGCCTCGACTCTCACCAGGGCTGAGAACAAGACCCCCAGAGGCTGCCAGCCAGTTCTGGAAAAGGGGATCTCAGGGCTGGGGGCTGCCTTGGGGAGCAGGAGGCAGCTCTCTTGCAGATGCCTGGGAGCTGACATCGTCTTTGGCAGCACAGCCAGCAAGCAAATGCACCCGCATCAATCACCCCACGCCTGTCTGCCGTGTTTGGGGAGCAGAATCTGACCCAACACTGGACCAGGAGGCAAGAAGCAGTTTTGGGTTATTAAACAAGACCAGGGCAATGGCTTGACCCAGTGGGGTCTGGGAAAGTCTGGATCTTCGGGGGAAATCTGATGGAAAGCAACGGTGGCCTTGCTGGTAGGGCTGGGGCTGGTGCCAGGGGCTGCATTGCTCCCACCAAGGGCTGCCCTGGCTGGAAACACTTGCTTCTTCAGGAATGAGGGGAGCAAAGGACTGCTGCATGGCTAGAAGCGAGAGGCAGAGATGCCCCCATCCCTGCTAGCTTGCCTTACCCAGGATTCACTGGACAACACCCCTGCCCAGTCCTGAAGTATCATAGATATTGATGCCTGTGCCCCACATGGCAGAATTACCCATGCCACTGCCCACCCAGCCCTTCCTGCCACCTAAATCTGGCATCTTCAGATGAGGAGAGCCTTCACCCTGCCCCAGTCCCCCACCAGCACAGCCCAGCTGCTGCTGAGCCCCCTTCCTGCCCCTCTCCCGCTTTGATCTCGCTCGGAGCCGGGGCCAGCATCGCCGCCGGGGTTGGGGGCCGCCCCGGGTGTCAGACTGGTTCAGCCACACATTTCTGGCTAATGAGAAATTTCCTCTCCCCGGCTCTCGGCCAGGTTTTTTTTTAGCTCCGGTATCGCTACCCCACCTCAGGCTCGGCCACGGCAGGCTGAGTCACGGGGGCCCGGGCACCTCCCGCACCCACCAGCGCGGGGCTTCCCCTGAGCATGGCATGACCCGGAGCTGGCAAAACCAAAACTCCGATGACCCATCGTGTCGCAAGAGCCAAACACTCCAGAGCGATGGCCTGAACCCGGCGTGGATGGGCTGAGCTGGGGAGGGGTCGGTGCGGCAGCGGGTGGGGAGTTGGGGTGCCACACCCCACTGTGCCCCATGTCCCGGCTGCCCTGGTCCGTGCCCAGGGAACCACAGCTCGAGGCAGCTGGGGAAGTTCAAAGGGAAGAGGAAAAGCAGCAGCCCCACTGTGTGTGAGGGTTTGGGTTTGGATCCCCACTCCCCGTGTCACAGCCTGAAGCCATTTCGTGCCATTAACGGGTTTTCTCGCTCTGAACTCGCTAATGAGCCTGTGTGGGAAGCAGCAGGGACTGAGGGCTCCAAACTGGGGCAGTGGAGGGAGAGAGTGGCTCCTAGCAGAGCTTATTTGAGGGGAGAGACAGCCATCATCCACCCTCAACTCCCTGCCTTGAGTTCTGCTTGCTCTCTGTGCTCCCCAGCCAGCCCCACTGACCCTCGCATATCCCTACCACCCAGCAGCCCCACACTGGTGCCTGGAAAGAAGGGTGTCTCATGTCACCATCTTGCAGGTGGCCCAGATTCTGCCACTTCCCTGGTGTAGTTTCCCCCCATCCCACTGTCCCCATTGTCACCCAGGCGGGGAACCAGGACTGCACCCGGGAGGATGAAGGTGAAACCATGACCCATCGCCAGGGCGGTGAGTCAGGCTGTGCCAGGTGACTTCTGCTGGAAAGCACCTTTCAGCACCATCCCTATTCTTGTCCCTGCCCCTGTCCCTGTTCCCGGCCCTGTGCCTGGCCCCATCCCCATCCCACAATGGCACAGAAGGATCCTGCAGGAGGCACTGATAGAGAGGAGGGAGGTAAAAGCTCCATGGAGGTGTTGGATGTTTCTGTCCACAGCCCAGGCTTGCGGGAAGTGGAGCAGGAGGATGAGCCAAGCCCGGGGCAGGAGCACTGGAGCAGGAGTGCCAAGGTGTGTGAGCCAGCGTCATCAGACCTGTGCAAACAAACACACGGGGCCGCCGGGATGGGGGAGAGCCGGGCAGAGGAATGGGGAGGGCCTGTCCCAGAACATCCTCAGCTCTGGGGCTCAGGGGCCAAGGACCCAGGGGATGGAGCCGTAGCACAGCACATCTGGGGGCTGGTATGAGGCAGGAGCCATCCCTGACAGTGTGATGGCAGCCGTGCTGTGGTCCCAGCCATTGTCCCACTGCCCTTGTGTCCAGGCAGCAGGCAGGGGACAGGGAGCGCTGGCACCAGGGCTGTGGGCTCCCGTTCACACGCTCCCGGCGGGTGGGCAGAGGGTGATGGACGAGGCCTCCATGCCGAGATAATCCTGTCCCTGCCGGCCCGCGGACGGCATTTATCTCGCGCCAGGACTGACGTCACACTCCAAGACCCCAGCCAAGGGGGCCTCACTTCTCTTCCTGGCTTTTCCCAGGGGACAAGGGTCTTTGGGCCCCTCGCCCCACACTTTGAGCAGGTGGATTTATGACCACAGCCATGCTCCAGCATCCAGGGGACAGGAGAGGCAACGAGACCTTTATAGCTTTAATACACCTTTCTGACAGTGAAGTTTAAATGGCCTCGTAAACCCCCTTGTCACCCACCCCCAGCAGAAGGCAGCAGTTTATTAGGGCTGTAATTCTTCTCCTGGCATTCCATCAGTGTCCTTTTAATCTGCACTTGGGGGTTTTTTATTTCTGCTTAATACCAGCAGCTGTAAATGCTGTTAGGGATCATCTTGTGCAGGGACCCTCCGGGGGGAGGCCGGGCACCAGGGCACGGATATGATGGAGCGGGGGAGCTGAAGGCTGGGACAGCCCAGTTCCAACTGAGGGGTCAAAGTGGTGAAGAGGAGCCAAATTTTCCTGCCCTAAGCACATGCCTCCTCTGCAAAGCAGGCCCAGGCAGGAATGCATCCGTGATGCAAGGAAAGCCTTTCCAGGGAACCTTGGGATTTCAGCAGCAGAGCCGGCCGGGAGCTAATCCTTTGTGCCAGGCTTTCCATTTTCATCTCATTAACTCCCGCTCTCTGTGGCGCTGCCCTCTCAGTTTTTCTGGCGGGGAGATAAGTCCCCGTGCTCGGTGCGGTGAATCCTCCGCGCCGCTCGCCCAACGCTCCCGGTTGCGCTGACGCTGGCAGGCAGCTTCCATCCAATTACAGCGGGGTGAAGCTCATTTTAATTGCATAGAGCAACTGGGATTACGCAGACTTTATCTCCTAATTCCCTCTTTATCTCTTAACTTCACACTCACTGCTTGCATTGAAGGCAGGACAGCTTGTGCCGGGTTTGCAGATTCTGAAGTACCCTTTCCCCCTGCACCAAACCCTTGCCCAGATGGGGTTGGCCCCAAAATGCTGATATTGGGGAACCCTCTGTGTTCCCTGGAGCTACAGCCTCCAGATATCCCCACAGCACTTGGAGGGTCAAGCTAGGGGATGACACCCATTACACAAGCTGTTTGGGAGGAGGGCTTGTCCTCA